GGCGCGGCCGGTGTCGCGGGCCGATCCGCTGATGAAGGCGACGTGAGGACCCGAGCCGCGGGCGAAGACGGCGTGACGGGTCGAGCCGCAGGCGAAGACGGCGTGACGGGCCGAGCCGCGGGCGACTCGGCGGCCGCTGGCGAAACGGACCGAGCAGTGGAGATGCTCGGCGCGACGGGCTCGTCGGGTGACCATGCATGGGCACGCGAATCGATGCCATGCAACATAGGGCGATCGACGTGCCCACCAGAAGACGATGATGATGATGGTGAATCCTCCAACAGCTCCAAACGAGCTCCACGTCCGGTTCCTGCACCATGGTTAGGTAACAGCAAAGGAGAGTATGCAACATCATCAAATTGGTCAGAAGCAACAGAGGATGAATGCAGGGATGGTGGTTCGACAGTGGACACAGGAAGGTTGGCAAAGGGAAAAACATGCTCATCAAACACGACGTCCCGAGATATATAAACACGATTAGTGGGAACATGAAGACATTTGTAACCTTTATGAAGAGAGCTATAGCCAAGAAAAACACACTTCTTAGAACGAAACTCAAGCTTGCGCTTGTTATATGGACGAAGATGCGGCCAGCAAGCACACCCAAATACCTTGAGAAAGGTATAATCAGGTTGTTCATTAAGGAGAACCTCAATGGGAGTCTTCATGTTTAAAACACGAGTAGGAGTACGGTTGATGAGAAATCATGCAGTGGTGAAAGCATCACTCCAAAACCGAAATGGAACAGATGCATGGGCCAAAAGAGTAAGACCAGCTTCAACAATATGACGATGCTTACGTTCGACTGAACCATTCTGCTGATGTGTATGTGGACATGCTAAACGATGAGCTATCCCAAGCGACTGAAAGAAAGAGTTGAGGTTGCGATACTCGCCCCCCCCAGTCTGACTGGACATGAACAATTTTGTGCTTGAGAAGACGTTCAACATGTTTTTGAAACTGAACAAAAATATCAAACACATCAGATTTGCGTTTAATAAGGTAAAGCCAGGTAAAGCGACTATAAGCATCAACGAAACTGATATAGTAATTATGACCACTGACAGAAGTCTGAGCAGGACCCCATACATCTGAAAACACAAGTTCTAAAGGATGTTTCACCTCACGACTGGACTCCGAAAAAGGAAGTTGATGACTCTTCCCCTGCTGACAAGCATCACACACTGCTACATCTTTATTACTAGACAAACTAGGAAGCTCATGACGACGCAAAATATGACGGACAATAGGTGTGGCTGGGTGACCAAGACGAGCATGCCACTGTGACGGAGAGACCCGAACTCCACTGAAAACACGAGCGACACCAGGATGCTCCAGACGGTAGAGGCCCTGGCACAACCGCCCACTAAGAAGAATGTCCCTCGTGCCCCGATCCTTAATAAAAAGATCAAAAGGGTGAAATTCACAAAGCACATTATTATCACGTGTGAGTTTAGGAACTGAAAGAAGATTACGGGTCACAGATGGAACTCGAAGAACATTGCGAAGCTGAAGACTCCTATTGGCATGTCTAGTGAGAAGAGATGCTTGACCAATATGAGAGATGTGCATACCTGCTCCATTGGCGGTGTGGATCTTGTCGGAGCCATGATAGGGTTCACGAGTGTGAAGCTTCCCCATCTCGCTGGTTAGATGCTCTGTCGCCCCAGAGTCCATGTACCAGTGTGGATCGATGGAGTAGGACTGAGTGTGACCCTGTTGCTTCTGCGGCGCGGGACGATCAGCCATAGCGACCTAACGGGCATTGTTGCGTGTATCTTTGCCGTCATTGCCAAGACCAAGGAAGCTTCGCTGGAAGCGCTTATGACACTTGGAGGCCCAGTGCCCATTGCGGCCACAAAGCTGACACACACGTGGACCGCCAGCCCCCGGTAAGGTCACAGTAGGTGGGGGGGGGGGCGAGGCGGGCGACGGTGGCAGCCCCAAGGGAGACCGGGGTGATGAAGAAGAGCGGCCACCCTTGGTGGCGGCGTTGGCCGAGAGGGAGCTAGTGCCCCTGGTGCGGCGAGTCTCGACCCGTTGCTCAGTGAGAAGGAGCCGAGAGAAAACCTCGTGTGCCAGCATGGGTGTCGAGTTGCCCCGCTCGTTGATGATCTCGACTAAGGCATCATACTCCTCATCAAGACCATTGACAATAAACGAGTTGAACTCGGAGTCGGTGAGGGGCTGTCCAATGGAGGCCAATGTGTCGGCGAGGCCCTTGACCTTGTTGTAGAACTCAGTGGCAGTGGAGTCAAGCTTCTGACACTCTCCAAGCTGACGACGGAGTGCAGAGACACGAGCCTGGGACTGCGCTGCAAAGGTGCGCTCAAGGATGGTCCAGGCCTCATGAGACGTCTTCGCGAAGACAACAAGGCCGGCAACTGCCGGCGAGAGCGACCCCTGGATGGAGGAGAGGTTCGCCTGGTCCTGCCCCGTCCAGACGCGATGGGCCGGATTGTAGACCGGATCGTGCACGCTGTCTACCAGCGCGGGTGGGCAGGGAAGCGATCCGTCGACGTAGCCTAGCAGGTAGTGACTCCCCAAGAGCGGGAGAACCTGCGCACGCCAGAAAATGTAGTTGTCGGCGGAGAGCTTGATGGTGATGAGATGACCGAAGTGAAACGGCGGCGGCGAAGACAATCCCATCGAGGAGGCTGCCTGGGGTGCAAACACCATGGAGGCAGCCGGAGGCACCGAAGCCGATGCGGGAGGAGGCGGGACCGCAGCCAGGGCGGGCGCCGCAAAGCTCGCGGCCGGTGCGGACGCCGCAAGGCCCGCGGCCGGGGCGGACGCCGCCAACCCCGCCAGCGGGGCAGTGTGATCCGCTTGCGGCAGGAGCGGCGGGACGACGCCTGCGGAGTCCGCAGCAGACGGCGGCGCCGCGGTGTGGACCACGAGGTCACGCCCAAGCGAGGGCGCCGGCGGCGTGGAGAAGACGGAGCCGATGCTCCTTGTCCCGATCGGAGCCGGAACAGAGACGACATCGAGCGGGAGGTTGAGCAGAGCCGCAAGAGAGGCCGGGAGGAAGCCCGCAGCAGTGGAACCGGTGGTGGCGGCGCTCGACATGGCGGCGGCGCGATCGGTGGCGCGGCGGCGGCGGTGAAGGCGGCGGCGGCTGCGGCGGCGGTGCGGGTATTAGGGTTTAGAAGCAGAAGCGATCGTAACCTAGCGTGATACCATGTAAGACAATAAGTTTTGGGGAACCAGCACAACCCTCTAGGGGTGGCTTATCTCATTATATATAATGGTTGTGTTACAATATGTACCATATACGTACATAGGTACAGAAGCTATACATAGTCTAACACTTTATGGCTGTATCTCGAATACTCATGTGTGATTAGTGATTTTCATGGTTTGCTTACCTAGCTATTGTAGATGATTGTGAGCATAGCTCTGTTCTCCAGGGATACAGTGTTCTTCTCTTAGAGTTTCGTGAGCAAGCTACGTCTTCATTAGCAGCGCTGGCCTTCTTCTCTTTTTTTTTTCAAGGCTCATGCCATGTGCTTATAATGGTGAAATGTTGAAGATGGTACTATAATTTTGATTAATATTTACAATATGTTACCACTGTTCATGATTCAGCACTTGGAAGTGATACTATACTTTGGTCTTTGATCACCCAGCTAGAGCAATCAGCCAGAGCAAAATGCTGAAATAATTTACTCATGATTTGCTAGGCGTGCAACCAGCCAGAGCAAAGGTAAAGCTAGCGTTCAAAGCAATCAGTAGTATGCAACCAGCCAGACCATAGCTAGCGTACATAGTAGCTTCTGCAGCTGTCCGCCGGCCAATAGCAGGCAGTCCTGGTCCCGGACGCGGCTGATGCTAATCTTGCTATTGGTAAGACCTCTTTTAATGGACAGGTGCTTAGATGAGGTGCTAAGCGCATTAAATACTTTAGCAACTATAGTCCATAATGCATAGGTGCTTAACTTGTTGTTGCTAAGAGCAAGTATAATAGCGCCTAGTCAGCTGGCTACAAGCCATTCCACCTCAGATAAAGTCTAGCTGGAGGGAAGAGAATACATGAGAGAGAAGGGAGCGGGCGCTCCGTGAGTCGCCGGCTGCAGCGCAAGGCTCGAGACAAAGAAACTGCATGCAAGGGCTTAAAGCTAGCGCGGCTTCCTCCTCTCCAATCAATTGCATTTTTCTCTTTGCCATGCATGTAGACATTAATTACTATAGCTAATGCCTACAGCCAGCTTTATTATACGAGAGTTCTTTCTTGATGGCTACAAGTGACGCATTCGTATAGAGCCCGTTGCCGGCTCTTCTATTAACCATGCTCTAAGCTTCCTTCATTTAATGATTTAGCTACTAAACTCTTTCATGCATTGGTGAGCTTGCTCCATTTAAATGCTTTGCCTAGGTTCACGCGTTTGGCATTGGTTCTTCCTAGGGTTACCAAATCAATCTCTTTCTTATTAATTGTTTTGCCACATCAGATTTTTCGCCTACATGGCATGTTTAGCACCTGTACAAGGTGGAGCATTGGGAGGAGCTTAAAAATTGCTGGGGACGATGCGGACGAGCCGCGGACGTGTCCAATTGCATGCTGACTCTAAGGAATTAGTAATATTTCTCATGTTAAAGCCTACAACCAGTAATAATATGAATATTAAATAACTCTGTTTGAACTGGCAATAATCAGAGAACAATTATTTTGTTTTACATGAAAAATAAATAGTATCATACTAACTCTTTCTTACACGAAATAATATTATAAAAAATGGAGCAATGACCCCGGCTGCTTTCTGTACATAGTCTGGGCATGCAACCGTCCATCTTTCCCTCTATCTCCACGTAGAACTGAGTGTGCCACCTACTGGAATGGAGTGCAGAAAATGGTTGCCATTTGGCAACCCCAACGAAGCCCAACGATGACTCATTCATCCATACATGACCTATATATATTACCAGTTGGACACTCTTGACCAACATCAACTGAGTACACCACAATGAACGAAACTTATCATCCCCAGAGAGCGCCCCCCATGGCAAAGCAAGTTAGGAAGAAGGGCAAACATCCAGCACTGAATTTTAATCATGGAAGCGGAAGTACCTCGGTAAGCTCTTGGTCTCACCTAGCTTTTTCTCTATACTTGCTTCTTGCAAGTCAGGAACTTATTACATTATTACGAACTCTTTCATGCAGGATGAGAATCTTATAGTGTATATTCCAAGAGGACCAATGCTTGAAACAGTGAGTGAAACAATTGGCTTAAAAGTACAAGGGTACACCTGTTGGTACGTTCATGAAGGCATAATACAAGCGTCCGTGATAATTGGTCTGCCACGTCAAAAAGATAGCTTCAGAGAATCCTCCATTACATATGAAGGAGAAGCAGCTAATACAAAAGATGAAGCAATGGAAAAATCAGCTCAAGTGGCCTTAAAATGCATCTGTGCAAACTATAATATTTCTATCAATGATCATAATTATTATGCTCTCGAAGTCACAAAGGAAAGATCGTTTACAACAAGAGAGAAGGCTTAAACAAAGCAATGGCAATTTAAAATGGCCCGCCAGCAAGTAAGCACAAAAGCAAAACGAGTTTGCAAGTCAGACAATGATTTTGGCAAAGATATGCAATGGCTTCTTTGACATATTACCACTTTGCATGTATCCCCAGCGCCCAGACAGCGACGATCCCATTATCACAATACATGCGCACATCCTCCCATGGACGTATGCAAAACCTTGCAAAATCACTTTATCATTACATCACAGGCACCAATCCTGCAGGAGGATATACTAGGATGATCTAACCCACTAGCAGCTAGTTTTAGCTTATCAGTTCAACGTGTTTGTATCTTTACATACAGTTCTCTGTTCGCAGCGAAGTATATGTAATTTCAATAATTTGTTTGCCTCAAGAGTGTGCATTTTTAATTTGTATCTTTGTATCCCTGTGTTTGTAAGATTTCAATATATTTGTATGTTTGGTTTATTTGTTATCTCTACACGTCATTTTTACATCAAATGAGCATGCACTGTTTCACTTTAAAATCAATAGAGTACACATCTGCGAGTGATCATTGAGCGCGGCGTGCCGCCGCACAGGTTAGGCTAGTATGCTCAATTAGTGAATGAAAATAAAAGGCCTAAAAGACACTTAGAAACAACTGCCCTAAAAGGGTGCCATTCATAAAGAAAGTGTTTAGTTTTTGTTTTGCTTGGCCTTTACTCATTAGGAAGCATGGCCTGCAAGTCCAACGACACATACATTTGCTAAACTTTTTGTAAAGATCACCTGTTTCAAATAATAGTTCTTCTTCATGTTAGGGATGGAAAAATCAGCTCAAGTGGCCTTAAAATGCGTCTGTGCAGACTATAATATTTCTATCAATGATCATAATTATTATGCTCTCGAAGTCATAAAGGAAAGATCGTTTACAACAAGAGAGAAGGCTTAAACAAAGCAATGGCAATTTAACATGGCCCGCCAGCAAGTAAGCACAAAAGCAAAACGAGTTTGCAAGTCAGACAATAATTTTGGCAAAGATATGCAATGACTTCTTTGACATATTACCACTTCGCATGTATCCCCAGCACCCAGACAGCGACGATCCCATTATCACAATACATGCGCACATCCTCCCGTGGACGTATGCAAAAACTTGCAAAATCACTTTATCATTACATCACATGCACCAATCCTGCAGGAGGATATACTAGGATGATCTAACCCACTAGCAGCTACTTTTAGCTTATCAGTTCAACGTGTTTGTATCTTTACATACAGTTCTCTGTTCGCAGCGAACTATATGTAATTTCAATAATTTGTTTGCCTCAAAAGTGTGCCACTTTTAATTTGTATCTTTGTATCTCTGTGTTTGCAAGATTTCAATATATTCGTATGTTCGGTTTATTTGTTATCTCTTCATGTCATTTTTACATCAAATGAGCATGCACTGTTTCACTTTAAAATCAATAGAGTACACATCTGCGAGTGATCATTGAGCGCGGCGTGCCGCCGCACGGGTTAGGCTAGTATGCTCAATTAGTGAATGAAAATAAAAGGCCTAAAAGACACTTAGAAACAGCTGCCCTAAAAGCACGCCATTCATAAAGAAAGTGTTTAGTTTTTGTTTTGCTTGGCCTTTACTCATTAGGAAGCGTGGCCTGCAAGTCCAACGACATATACATTTGCTAGACTTTTTGTAAAGATCATCTGTTTCAAATAATAGTTCTTCTTCATGTTAGGGATGGAAAAATCAGCTCAAGTGGCCTTAAAATGCATCTGTGCAGACTATAATATTTCTATCAATGATCATAATTATTATGCTCTTGAAGTCACAAAGGAAAGATCGTTTACAACAAGAGAGAAGGCTTAAACAAAGCAATGGCAATTTAACATGGCCCGCCAACAAGTAAGCACAAAAGCAAAACGAGTTTGCAAGTCAGACAATGATTTTGGCAAAGATATGCAATGGCTTCTTTGACATATTACCACTTCGCATGTATCCCCAGCGCCCAGACAGCGACGATCCCGTTATCACAATACATGCGCACATCCTCCCGTGGACGTATGCAAAAACTTGCAAAATCACTTTATCATTACATCACAGGCACCAATCCTGCAGGAGGATATACTAGGATGATCTAACCCACTAGCAGCTACTTTTAGCTTATCAGTTCAACGTGTTTGTATCTTTACATACAGTTCTCTGTTCGCAGCGAACTATATGTAGTTTCAATAATTTGTTTGCCTCAAGAGTATGCCACTTTTAATTTGTATCTTTGTATCCCTGTGTTTGCAAGATTTCAATATATTCGTATGTTCGGTTTATTTGTTATCTCTACATGTCATTTTTACATCAAATGAGCATGCACTGTTTCACTTTAAAATCAATAGAGTACACATCTACGAGTGATCATTGAGAGCGGCGTGGCGCCGCGCGGGTTAGGCTAGTATGCTCAATTAGTGAATGAAAATAAAAGGCCTAAAAAACACTTAGAAACAGCTGCCCTAAAAGCGCGCCATTCATAAGGAAGTGTTTAGTTTTTGTTTTGCTTGGCCTTTACTCACTAGGAAGCATGGCCTGCAAGTCCAACGACATATACATTTGCTAGACTTTTTGTAAAGATCATCTGTTTCAAATAATAGTTCTTCTTCATGTTAGGAATATTTGACGTGGGTCATAAATCAAATAATCACTTATGGTTTAGGCCATGCTTATTGTCATCACTTATATTTTAGGCCATACTTATGTTTTTTTAGAGAATCATAATGATTGGATTAGAAATAGCAGAGTCGATGAGATTTTCTCCCGTCGCAACGCACGGGCCATTTTCCTAGTAATAATAATAATCTATCCTTTAATAATAATAAAGCACGGATTGACTTCGTGGATTTACCGTCACAATACGTTTTCTTTTAATGTCATAATACGCTTTGTATAGACAATCTTTATCTTTTTATTTTATTTTATTTTACCTACTAATAAAGCAGTCGCTGCCATATTATAAAAACACCCCTTTGTTTTTAGTTAATTAACCCGTCGTCTATTCCTGCGAAAAATATTTCTGGCGTGAGATTCGAACTTCCAACCTACCGTTCCCATGCTACAACCACAACCAGTTGAGCTGGACCCCAAGTTGTGATTAAAAGCCGGGTTTATTTCTTAATATCATGTGCGGAAAGCTGGCTAAATATTCTGGCCCGCCCAGCCAAACGTAGCCTGATGGAGTGAGAATCCGGAGTTAGGCCCAATCAGTCTGGCCCTCGAGTCGAACGAAGCAGCTTGGGTGTTGGATAATCCCATCTCGTTCAGTTATATTGAGTCGTCTCAGTTTATATATGTTCCCAAGTTATCTGAAATATCAACAAAGCCACTTGGGAATCAACAAGCAGCCCCAAGAGCCTGGGAGAAGACGATGCAGAAGCATTGAACAGGCTTGGCGAGGGGCATGTGTAGCTCGGCCATGGTGGCGTGTGCTGCTATGAGTTGGCCAAAAGGAAACACAGGGAAGAGAGAGTGGTGTGTCAACTCCACATAAATTATCCCACGTGGGTTATGTTCAAAATTTTATGTGCTTGATTCAAAATGAATGGGATTGTTATCCCACGTGGGTTATGTTCATGAGTTATAAAAAGAACCATCATGTGAATTCCTTCGATTTAGATAGATCGAAGATCGTGAAAATTTACTTACTGAATTTCATCTGGTAGGCTAATTTAAGAAAAATCAAGTGAGGGATTTTTTAAAAACCTCAGTTCAAATCAAAGCATGATCACATGACCAGCAAAAATAAAATGAAACAAATATTATAATTTGATAGATGTAGTATTGATGCAATAATAGAAGCCTAAGATGCCCAGACATGTTACACTTGAAAAAAGTAAAGTATCAGGGATAAGAAAACTTCAAGGGAAAGACCAGGTTGACTCGGTCCTTATACACGTTGTTCCGAAAACCACACGAAGCCAAGCCGCAACTGCCATCATTGAGAAGCAGTGCATCGACGGACCGTCACACAAAGTTATGTGTTTTTTTTTATGTATTGCACTTTTTACTAACTGTGTGAATTTTCTAAGTTTTCAACAGCGATAATGATGTCTTTGTAGATAAAATAGGCATATTTAACAGAACACAAGGACGTTAGTGGTGATATGATAAACCGATCAGCTTTATGCACATGCTCATAATAGAAATACCTTTAAGTTGATGCTTCAAGATTTTTTTCCTCCATTGCAATGCACGTAGGAGTGACCAGACATATGATAAACCAGATCATCTTTTCTCTTTCTTTATTACTTCTTTTCCTTCTCTTTCTTCATCTCCACCAATCACGTGTAAGTGACCAGACATATGAGAAAGAAAATGAGGAGTGTGGTTGCACGGACGGACAAATATGGGCTTAAAATGGGCACGCTCGGTCACTGATCGGGCGAGTCCTTGGACGTTTAGGGGGTCATAATTGCTAAGTCCGGCTGTAGATACTCTAAAAACCCCGAAGCGAGAGAGTATATCTTAGCGGAGAAGTATGTAATATTTACGCATGCCATTGTGTCGCTTTGGTAGACTTTTTGATGGACATACATTAAATTTCTCTCCCGGTGCAATGCACGGGCATTTGTCCTAGTTAATAATAAATAGTCTATATCTACCTACTAATAAAGCAGTGATTGCTTCTGGTCGTATGTCATTAGCAAAATTATAAAAAAAGTCCGTCTGGTTATGAGAATTCAACCCGCGGTCCTATTTTAAATTAAGAAAACGCTTTATTTTTACATAAAACACCCGGCAATCACCACCGTGCACCACGGCCTATTATCCATTCCCTCCACCACCACCAGGCACGCGCCGCCACGCGCAGCCGTTTGCCGCCAGAGTCCGCGCCGCAGGAGCCAAGGAGGCGGGCGTACGCGTTGCCCGAGCCCAGGAATGGGGCGAGGCGTCGCGGCTGGCGTTGGCGAATCCATTCCCGGCGGCGGCGGCTTCCGGCGAGGAGGCGAGCGCGCTCGGGGAGCTCCGGCGGGGGCTTGTCGC